AGATAGTTTCGTTAATAATTTATTCATGTATTAACTCTTTTATGAGTTGGGTATTTAATAATAAATATTACATTTATTCATTCAACTTTACGCGTATCTATCTGTTTTTTAACTTTATGCGATAAGTTTTTCACATGTAATTTATTAGTTTGTAAACTTCTTTAAGCGAAGTTTTCTTTGTTTTCTAGTATTAAAATAATAAACGTTTTAAAAAAATTATGTAATTTGATTGGTTAATTATCATGGGCAATTACAGGTAGATCAACAAAATTAACCAATAATATGAATGTCTTCCTATAAGTCTTCGACATTGTAGGATGGTGTTTTGCCGATGGAAGTAATAACTTGGTTTTGTCTTGTAGAAAAAATATAAACTATAAGATTTATGATTTGGGGTGGCATGCCGATTCTAAAAAGGGCTTTGCTTAAGAGTGGTATGTGCACAGTATCATAGGCTTTGGACATATCTTGCAATAGTATTCAAAGTTCTTTCTTGTTTATGTGTGCATCTTTATGTAAATAAGTGATATGTTGAATCAGTTGTAGTGTGGAAGTAAGTGGGAGCACTACATTATTTGCGAGATTAAGCAGATCATTGCATACGAGAATAGAATTGATGCGAGTGGTTAAAATTTTAGTAAAGATTTTGTGGATATGTTCAATGAGTGTTATAGAGTGAGTCTTGGAGAGGTCCCCTGGTTGGTATCCTTTCTTCGGTATGGGCCAAACTAGACCTTTATACCATAATGAGGGAGTTGTTTGTAGATTGATACAGGTATTAAAGATCTTGGCTAATAATAGAATTGCTATGTGAGAGAGCTTCTTGAGCATTTCATTTGAGATTAATGAGGGGCTGGTTGCTTTGTTGTTGGGTACTGTGGTTATTGTTGCCTGAACTTTGTCTGCTTCAATTGGTTTTAACAATAGTACATATGTAGTGGGCGTAACTTAGGTAGTGTTTTATAATAATATTCTCATTCTATTCAAAGGTTGGAGTCAAATGGGTTAAGTTGGGTTTAGTGATGAAAGTGCTGTGATGTTTCTTGTTTGATTTCCTGGGGGTCAGTGATTATTGTAGTTGGTGTAGTGATGTTGTGAAAGGTGACAGAGGATTGGTGCCGGTGTAAGATACTATCAATTATCTTGGTTGTGTTGCTTTAAAAGTTGGAGTAGCATTTGTTCGTAAAATATTGGATTTTCTCTCTTTTTTGGTTGTTATTCTTGGTATTTCTTGCAGTGTATAAAGTTGCATAGAGCTATTTGAGATGTGTTTTTGTATGAGTGTAGGAGGGGTACTCCAAGTCATTGAGTTGAAGGTGTTGATTAGTAGTTTGAGTGAGCGCATTGATTTTGTCGAGAATGCTATTAACAGAAGTAGTGATATATTGAATATGAAATAAGATAGGTCGATTAATTATATTAAAGATGTGATTAATATGTTTTATTGCTTGATGTAAAGAGCTAGCTTTAAAGGAGTGAGCATAGAATGTGTGGGGACTAGTATAGGTATATGGTATAAATTTGTTGGCTTGTTTAATAATATTGTTAAGATTGTTAAAGGTTTTGTTTAGTTGGTGTGTGTTTATAATTTGCTGGTAATAGTAAGCGGAGGCTGAAATGTGGGTTGAATAAATCCAGCAAAATCCTTCCAGAGTTTGGAATTCATATAATCATAGTTGTAAATTTTTCGGTATTGTTTTTTGAGCTAGGGCTGTTTGACTATGGGTATGTATGTTGTGAAGTGGTAAGTATTTGGTGATCACTATCAGTAATGTTAGTAGGGTTAAGAATGTGAGGTGTAGTGAATGAGAGTGTGATTTCTGGAGAAACCCATATATCATCTATTTGGCTTGACAACTGGTTCCGATTCTAGGTAGGTTGAGTGATCTGGTGTAGTTGTAATAGGCTTATAAAGCCAATAGCTAAGAGGTGTTAGAGTAAGGGGCATTGTCTATGGTAGTTGGGATGGTTAATATTACAGTTAAAATTGCTGGCAATTATGAGGTTCATGTTTTGAGAGCGACCATCATTAACCCAGGAGATAATTTGTTGTTGGGCAGTATGCAGTGATGGTGTTGTGGATGATGGTAGATAGGTTGCTATAAGGCACATTTTATTGTTTGCAGGGAAGTATAAGTCTATAAGAAGGGCAATATCTAGTATAGTGCTGATTTTATGGATATGTAGTTGGATTGATGGTTTTAAAGCTATTGTGACACCTTTATATGATTCGTAAATGTTTGTGTTAGTTTGATCACAGTTTAATGTATAAATCTTGTAAAGCGGTTTAGTAAGTGCTATAGGGTTAGTAGATGCAGCTAGTTTTGTTTCTGTTAAAAAGGCTATATCTATTTCATTTGAATCACAGTATTTTAGTAGTAGTTGTAGTTTGAGTAACTGGTTAATCCCTTGAACATTGTGGTTAAGAATGTTGAAAGTTTGTTTGGTAAGAGAAATAAAGTTGTGATGGTTAGTATGAGATGTCAAAGGAGGTGTATAGTTAGAAAATAAGTTGTTAGTTTTCAATAGTTAATTATATATGTTAGTGAATTCACTCATAAGGGACATAGTTGTTAAAAAGTTCCCATTTGGATACAGGGAGTTCAGGGATATTGACAATATGAAGGGGAACCTCTCTGAAGGTAAAGTGAGTATGTAAAAATGCAATGGCAGTTTCAACTTCTTGTTGGGAAGTAGCTGGTAGAATAATTGGTTCAGGTGTAAATATGTAATTAATTATAGCTCTGATTTCATCGAGTATAGATGGTAGAGGAGGACAGTTTGTTTCTATTGAAGCCTTTTGTGGGATATTAATCCATTCAGCTGGGATTTGTCTGAAGTAGTAGTGTTTTCTTAGGAAGCGTGCAGTTTTAACTAAGACTCTGGGGCTTGTAATAGGCGTGGTAATGTTAACCAGCTTTATCTCATTAGCGATCAAGGGTAGTTCTGGTTTGTTTGTAAGGTTGACTGTCATGTATTGCTCAGGAAGAGATAAAGTAAAGTGATATTTGTTTTGTATAGCTGCCAGAAACTCTTTTGCTAGCATTGGGTTATAGATAGAAAAGAAATATTTTTTGAAGTAGCTACTTGTGTTGGATTTTGAGAAAGAGGCTGTTTCTGCATGAAAAAGTCAGAGAGGACATATTTAAAACTATAGTGTTGGTGAAGAACCTCAATGAAATGGTGGAATTCAGTGGAGTCTTTGGGATTACAAGGAAATAGATAACAGGTAGCTGAGTTTAAATTTTGTGGTGTACTAGGTAAACGAGGTTTTGTGGTGGTAGGTTGAAGTAGGGTGGTGGAATTTTTTTACCCATAATGTAATATTTGGATAGTTTTTGATGATAGAAGGCTAGATATGTGAGCTTTGATGGTTCAGTAATAGAAAATAAATCATGTATTTCGGGATTGAGTTCAGAGGGGTGGTTAGAAAGAGGTAGTAATTGGGTTTCGAAGTAGCTATCGTGCAATTTTTCAGATGTGTACATTTTCTGCAGAGTGAAGACGACCGCCCTGGTATTACTGCAGTTAGTAATAGGTAGTTTAAATGGAAGAATCTGAAGAATATTATCAGTAATGCCACATGGAGAGGAAGGTAAGAGTTTTAGAAAGGAGGTGTAAGTGGAGATTAAAGTAGCTCTGATTTTTCAAAGTCGAAAAGTGTGGTGATTTTTGCAAAATTTAACAGGTAGGTGATATATCTTGTAATATCATGAGGACTTTTCAACATGAAGTCCAAGTTATTTAAGAAGTTGAGTGCAAGTTTTGCCTTGAGTCTTTGAAAGAGTTGGTTCTGGTTGATTTTGTTGATATAGTGAGCATCATGGCAACGTTTGTATCTTTCAGTTGCAATTTGTAAGAGCGTTTTGAATTTTTTCTGGTGTTGAGGTTGGGTAGAGGTATTGCGAGTAAAGGATTTAAAGAAGGTGATATCCAAGTGGATGAATTTTTCATTAATTGCAGAAGATAGATTGTAAGAAGTAGAAATGGAAGTTATTTTGTGGACGAAAAATTCTTCAAGTTTAGTAATATCTTCGAATGCAGAAATAATGTAGTCATTGTGCCATTTAAGTTTGTCAAATTCATTGGTATGTTGTGTTGCAAGATCTTTAAGGACTGAGATGCACTATTTAAAGTCTCGGTGGCCTGAAAATTTTTGTTTAGGTTTAAGTTTTTGGTTACCTATAAGTGCAGTAGCATAAAATTTTTTTGTTTTTGGTAAGGATTCGATTGTAGTATTTGAGTGAGTGTCCATAGGTAGATCTTGGTGGAAGTTGGTAGTAGAGTCAAGTAAGAGAGCTAGGTTGTTAGCTGTTAATAGATTGGGCTTAGTTGTAAATGTGTTCTCAGGTCCAGAAAGCCCTGAGAGATCAGAAGGTTGTAAATCGGCTGCCGAGGTAGGTTGTTGTACCAAATTGGGAACAGAGTTTGTTGTGATGATTAGCGTGGGAATTTTTGCAGTTTTTTCCATGCTAGTTGGGACAGGCACAGGGCCCAGGTCAGTTTGTTGTTTCTGGGGATATGGTGTTTTGCCCACTTTGTTGTGATTGTGTTGTAAGAGCAGTTGAAGAATGAGTAGTCAAAGAGTAGTCCATTTGAGTAACTGTATTGTTGGGGTCATTTTGTCTGCTTCTTTTTGTAGGAGGAGGTTGTTAAGTGCTTGATTAGAAGAGTATAAAGACTGGTTGGAAGTTGAGGTGTGTGCGTCTATAGTTAGGATATAGTGTCCGTTAGAGGTAAAAAAAGGCTCAAAGATCTGAGGGATGAAAAAAACACAGTTCTTTGAGCATTTAATTTTGTTTGAAGGTTGTAATACTGTGTGGTATTAGTTTGTTCTTTGTCCTGAAAGATCCAATGTATTATTTATTTAATGAAATATTGAGCTATATTAGTTTGATTACTTTTGTTTACTCAAAATTTTGATTTTCAGAGGTGATCCAGAAAGAGTTCTCATCTGATTGGTAGTTTATAATATAGATCATTTTCTAATTTTATTAGTTGATCAGAAAATAAACTTGAATATAGTCCTTCGACCAGATTTATCCTATTTTAAAATCTGTACTATACTGATCCGGGCATGCTCTTATTTCCCACCATGATACAAACCAAAAAAGAAAATTTTTGTATATAGATCGTAAGATCAGGTGTAATATGAAGTTTGTTCGTATTTGTTGGTATTTTTCAAAAAATCACCAATAACTCAAAATTTTGTCTAAAAAACTGCCTCTTGTGTTCTAACAAAAAAAATTTTCTTGCAACATTTTAATATAGAATCTATTCTTTTTAACTTTAAAGTTAAAGCAAATTTGCAGCAAATAAAATATTTGTAATTTCGTGTAATTTGTATCACAGTAGGAAATAAGTAAACCTCTGATCTGATACTGTATATTGTTAGAGTTAGCGTAGTTAATGCAGATTAGTATGGTATTGTTTTCAAAATAGATAGTTTACAAATTTACAACACTATACCATATTTGTGCATAATAACGCATGGGTGTAATTTCAAATTTTGGTCTAAATTAACCTTAATTTAGGCCGTAGCTCAAAATAACGCCTGGCCTGCTATTACGTGCAATACAGTACATACAATTTAGATTATTTATTCCATACTGATTTTCTGTAATCCGTCCTTCAGACCTTTAATAGTTTTTATTTTCCTAGTTAAATAATAAGTTGGCAAATAATGATTATAAAATATCAAAACTACGTACTAGAATTTTTCAAATAATTTAGTATCACAAGGAATTAACTGACATCTTTTTTACACGTTTGATATAGATATTGTGACTAATTTTGATTAGAAAAATTTAATTACTTCTGATATATATATATATGAATATACTTCTTATCAAAAGTAGAGTTAACCAAGTATAGTAAATACTTTTTAGTGAGAAGCTACCTTTACAATAGAGGTTTCTAAAATTTAGACTATTAAAAAGCCTAAAATTCAATATTGTAATAATTTATTGCCCTCAGTGAATAAAATTAAAATTAATGCTGGTTAAATCAATATCATGAATTTGAATATCAGAATAATATTTCTAGATTGTAATTCACACCATATTGTTGTTAAAATTGTTGAAGGTGACCAACAATTAAAAATAAGTACAAATCTCTAAATAAATTACATTTAAAACTTTTTGGATTTAATCATTCAGGGAATATCTAAAGCCGTTGTTACAGAGTAAAGCCTTCTTAATTTACTTTATAACGACAACACGGTACAGAGAAACCTTTCGTAGGTATATGCGGTGTCCAAGAGGTAAGTATAGCTTCTTTTCTTTTTAAGAAACTATACCCTTCTCTAAAGCAGTTCGTGGGAAAATACAATAACAATAATAACTTATTAATACAAGAGAGAGATAAACCTTGCCTGTAGGAATTACCCTAGAGGAGGAATATCTAAACAGTTTATAGTCAAAGAGTCATTTATTAAATATAAAGAATACAAGGCTATCCTTAGGTATCTATT